CCCCCCCCCCCCACAAGTCTACCTTCCAGACCCCCCAGCCAGGGGGGGGCTGTCTATTCACCCCCCCAGCTGTACCTCTGCCTGGAGCACCAGCATGTTCAGGGACAAGGTGAGTCCACCATTGAGGGGGGGGGGGTGATGGCAAAAAGTAAATGGAACACTTAATGGCAAAATGTGATTTATTGCCCTTATGCCTTTTTTGCCTTATGATTCATGACCCCTGGGGTCAAAAGTCACCAGAACAACAAGAAAGGGATTAGGGTTAAACGTTTTTTATTTTTTATTTATTTATTTATTTTTTTATAGGATGAAGGAAATGTCTCCTCACAACGATCTGGAAGCGGACCTTTGATGGGTCCAGACTCAGACCCACAGCGTCAAGTCTCTCCTTCAGCCGGTGGTGGTGGACCTGGAGGAGGACACAAATCCTCACCAGCCTGGACCCACCGTCCCCTCCCCAGCCGGTGGTGGTGGTGGTGGTGGACCTGGAGGAGGACTCGGAGCCTCCACCCGGGCATGGAATACCCTCTCTGGAGGATGTGGAGGCTGGAATGGATGAGTTCGACGGATGGGTCCGTTTTGGGTTCATCAGAGCTGTTAAATCCACTGTGCTTTAATTTTTAACTATACATGCTAATAAAAAAAAGATAAAACCCGACTGCAAGCATCCTTCTCTTTCATTCCATCAGAACATGTGAAGATAACCCATGGCAGGGAAAACTTACTGAGGAGAGAAGATTACACTCCTGCCCATCCTGGAAGTTTTGGAGGAGTAGATGGGTTACGGCGAGGTGTCCAAAGTGACACGGGTAAAAAAATAGGGGTTGGGAAGGAAAAAAATTTTTTTTTTTTTTTTTTTCTTTTTTTTTTTTATCGAAACAAGATGCATATACTCGGCATAAACCTGCCAGAATAACTTTAACTAATCTGGTGAATCACATCTGAAAATCTGAGTCTCCTGGTCTGAACAGCCTGGTTTACATTTGGATTAAATGTGTTTGGGCTTGATGGAAAGCCTCAACTCAGCATGACTGAAAATGGAGACACAAGACATGTGATAAGAAAACAACACATTTCTAACATTTCCCTCCTGTTTATTGAATAAAATGCTAAAGAAATAGGTCTATACATGTATGGGGTGATAGCATTGTTCCAGAGATCACTAAAGGTGTCCCGGCTAAACGGCAGGTCCACAGACTCATTCTCTTCCTCCTCCATGTCTTCCCTCCTTCTCCTTTGGTGGAGGGGATGTGGTCTCATAACTGGGCCCACATGCTGGGTCTTTTGGAGATGCTGTGGCCCTGAGAAGGGCCCCCTGTGGGGGCTGGGCCTGGTGGCTGAGGAGCCGTGTCCTGACTTCACTGTGAAAAGAAATCAGTTTCAGACACGTCAACAGGAAGAAGCATTGTAGAGCGCTTTCACCTGGAGGGAAAAAGAGGAAAGAAAACTTTAAGTATAAAAATTCATCAAATGGCATCAGGATCACTTCTGACTCCAGACAACAGTTGACCTAATCAGAATATTATTTTGTTTTGGCTCTTTTTGGCGAGTATGTGTTAGATGTTTTCCATAACCATGAATGTGGAATCTTATGAATCTGTTGTGATTTTGACTACATTTGTATGCTGTGCTAACAGATACTGACCCTCTGGAATGTTTTAGGAGTGGTTTTGTTTGTACTAAGCTGCATTCACAAAGTGATTTTAGACACTAGGTGAGATGAGACATATTTGGTTCATGAGAATAATACACTAGATTATATACAATTTTTAAGGGACCAACAATGATGAAATATGAGCGCTCCGTGTATCAGTTTTGTTAGATTTTCCCCGAATTTTTAATTTATTGGTAAATGTCATTACTCAATATTGTATAAACATTGCTGCTTTGCATTGCGTTACTATGATCTAGACTCTAGATCTAGAGATTCCAAATGAAGCTTTGTGAAGCATTGCTGCTCTTGTTCTCTTGCTCTTTTTCAGTGCTGGAAGCTATTCATCTCTGGTGCCACCTGCTGGCCAACAGTCTGAACAGCATCTTAATAAATTGCTTCATTATTTTTGTACACAGCGTGGAGTTGACAGCTGTTCTCACCTCTGAAGACCCAGCTATACACACCCGGAAATTGTATTTAAGCACCATGAGTTTTTTTTTTTAATAAAGCCTCCTTGAGCTATACTCATTTAATGTATTTTGGTTAGAATCCTAATACACATTTTTTTAATTCTCATCTCAAACAGCAGGTGGACCAAAACTATCATGGTTAATATCCTGAGACAGCTGTATCTGATATGTGCTGTTGTTGTTGAACGTGTCTTTCTTGGGGTGAAAAGATAACTATCTTTTATCAATAATTGTCCTGCCTCCTTCTAGCTCCAGTGGTGAAATCAGCTTTTTAAGACTAACCTGGGTCTGGTTTTTGATCTGGCCATTACAGAATGAGCCTCATTCACTGCATAAAGTGGACAGTGAAACACATTTAATGTCAGCATGGACATTATTTTAATTTCTATGACGTTTTATTGAACAGTGATCGGTTTGAGATGTTTTCTTTCCAGACTCAGTTTAAAGTGAGGAGCCCCAGCAAACAGAGCAGAGTGGACAGCAGAAGCATGCTGGTCCAGAACCCAGAGCTCCATGGACTGAAACCACTGAAGGAAAGGGTTTGGAACTTTACCTAAGTAATGAGGGAAAAAGTTTGAGTTTTTTGTATATATTATTTTGTTGTTGATGAGGATATTCTGTATTGATGTGATCATCTTTGTGTTTGTTTGCTTGATTTTCTCCAGATCTTACAGTATGGATCAAATAATAAATGCCTGTGTGAAAAGCTTGTGAATGAAGAGAGCTCCAGCTGGGATCCCCTTTAAGTTCAGAGGCACAAATAACATTTTTAAGAGCAATGGTGCCTAAAGATTTAAATACTGGAAATGATCAGTAGTTGTTTAAAAAAAAACAACTTTTGCAGTAAAACCTATATACAGACTGCATGTTTTTTGCACATTGCAATTGTTTTTAACTCGACCCTTTTTCTAATTTTGTATGTACATATAGGTGTCTTTGAGATCCTGTTTTGTCCCCCGTACATAGCATACAATAAAGATTCTCTGCACTGAAACAATGGGTCATTTATTGCAAGATTCTTGCTCTGAGACTGAACAACTCAACAATGTCCGTAGCATGGAAGTTGAGAAGAAATATTCTAAACTACTTTTAAAGCTGCTAACACATGAACATTCCATACCCTGAGTGGCTGCTAATGACGTAAATTCAAATATCAAACCCAATTTAAATGTCACTAAGGAGTGTGAACGGGACAGGCTGTTTGCAGACAGAAACACATTTTTCCCCAACTGGACAGCAAAATGCAGTTAGCTGCAAAAAATATTTCCAATGAGAAGTAAGTTAGACATCCACATTCCAGGTAAACTTTCACCTGTGCACAGGTAGATCTGCAGACAGCCAGAGGGGGACATTTTCATCTATCCATGGGCTTAGAATCATAGGGTGACACCATGAATCAGCCAGCTTTCATTTAAGTCATGACTTGTGTTCTACTAGAGCAGGTTAAAATGAGTCTGCTTCCACCGCTTTGATTAAAACATGGAAATGCCACATTAAGGATTAGAATGGGTGAGACATTTTTGGGTGAGACCGGGGTAAACAAAAGATAAAGTGCCAACTTCAGATGACATAAATATTTCTCAGTTCAGTGGATACTTTTAGGTAAACAAGTAAGAATTAATGGTAAACTTCTGAGTGATTTTGGAGCATTTTTGTGTAAAAAGGCTGGATTTTTTTGCGCATCCTAAACTACCGTATATTGATTAAAAGTCTGCTTTATTGAATCAGATAATTGTCTTTCGTATGTGTAACTCCACATGTGTGGTACCTTCATTATTGTGA